TTGAACTTATTAAATTACGGAAAATGAGTAAGTTTTTTGAACTGTATTTAATTTACAGGAGTTGCGGAATTATTTAGAAAAATGTATTTATTTTGAGTGCTTTGGGTTACACTAAAATGCAAAATTAGCCCAAAAGTGGAATTACGAGGTTTACTTATTAAGGTCACGATGTATCATTGATGAAGATATTAAAAAGAAAGGGTCCAAAGTTGGATCCTTGAGGTACGCCAGATATTGCTTCTATTGAATCCGATAAGGCATCAAAAATACGTATAATTTGAACTCTATTAGATAAGTAGTTGTTAAACCATGAAAGCAAATTTCTTTTACAACCAATGACAGACAATTTTGCTAATAAAATGGAATGGTCAACTGAGTCTAATGTTTTTCTATAATCTGTAAAGATATTATCTACTTGGAGGTTGGATTCTAAATTGGTTATAACTAGACAGCGGATTTTTATGCAATATCACATTTTAAAAGGTTGTTCATAGAGACAAAAACAAAAGTAGAAATTTCTTTCTTTCTTTAAGTATCTTATTGGGCTCAAAAGAAAATAGAAAACTCATTGTATCTGACGAAAATTTTGCCCTTCATTGTATTTCACAGAGACCTATAGGCTATAAATGCATAAAATCCGCAGTCTAGTTATAACATAATTACATAGAACCGTAAGAGTAGTGACCGTGAATCGTCCATGTATAAAACCATGTTGCTCATCGCAGATTGTGTTGGAGAACGCTAGACTTAACTATTGAGTTATAATATTTTCAAGTAACTTTGGTAACACACTGTTAATACATATGGGCATTGGCGTAACTAGGTAGGGCCAGGATGGGCCTGACCCCCCCCCCCCCCCCACGCCCAGAAAGTATTGAAATATGTAAAAAAAAACATTCGTCAATTGGTAAAATCTTATTTTATAAAAAATAAATACTTGGGCCGAAGTGCAATACGCAAAACATATTTTGTGTACTTATTTAAGTACACAAAATACAGTTAAATTATTCCCTACTAATTTAATTTTAGAACATAAATTCACATTCAAATATTGTTGTAGTGAAATTATTTCGTATTAATTTAACTTTAGAACATAAATACTATCTTCATTACGTTAAAGTATTAAGTAAAATTGTATTAGAATTAAGCTGTTTAATTTTTACATTCTACTTATCTAATAATCCTGCAACATCAAATGAAGGATCGGATGCAATTAAAGGAACTAGCGTTCGAGAAGAATTATGTTTATATTCTTCTATTCTTAAAGTAAATAATTATTGCAATATGTGTAACTTTATTTTGTGCAATCCACGTACGTGGTATAAAATACGTACAGGTGCCTGATGGAGAGTGTTATGGGCGAAAGTCAGGGGACCTGGTCTCCCCAGAAAAAAATTCTAGTTACGCCAATGCAAATGGGTTTATAGTTATGTACATTCGACGCATTTCCTGATTTGAATGTGGGAGTTATTAGAGAGGTTTTCCAATAGAAGGGAAAAATGCTAGTCTTTAGAGATTCATTGAAAACAAACCAAAGAGAACGATAAGATGAAATTACATGATTTGACAAAAATTGGAGTATTGTACGTCGGCAATACCTGCTCCTTTATTAATATCGAGAGACTTAAGCAGGGAAAATATTTCACTAATATCAATTGTGTGATCAGGAATGCAAGTATTGTACCCGTAATCAATCACTAGACAAGCATCTGACCGAGGAATGTATACGGACTTAACATTATAATGCAAAGAGATTGGCAAAGGAATTATTATCTTTCGCTTCATCAGTTTCGTATGTCAGTATATTGGGTATACTATTTGAACGGCGTCGGGAGTTTAAAAATCTCCAAAAGGACTTAATATGCATTATGCTGCATAGATTGTTCGGTCATACTGGTAAAGTTTATGTAGTATTGATTTGAAAGTTTTTCACATTCAGACTGTAAAAATGAAAAGTGGTGGTAATCAGACATAGATTTTGATTTCTTATACAGGGTGATCCACGCAACTTGTTCACCCTGAATAACTTCTAAAGTATGCATTGTATGAAAAAAGTTTGTATAGAAAAGTTGTATGGTTTGGAGGGATATGTTATGTAACGCATATATTATTTTTCTGAGTGGAGGTGTTTCGGAGATTTGAAGGTCAACTTCGTTTTTTTAAATGGAATGCTGTATTTTTTATGCCAAAATATCGAAGGGCTTTAAGTATTGAGTAAAAAAGTACTGACCTTTATTAACCGTAAACGTAATAATTAACGAATAATTTCACTTTATTTCTTGAAAATGGACCGTGCGTAATATCAAGTTGGAGATTCAATACCAGCAAAGATTTTCGTAAGACCGCGGAGTGTACGTGACAATGTTTATCAACATGACAGATTCTGCGTATGGAATCGTAATCGCATATTCTGTCCGTGATTCAGTATTGAAGTTATCATCAGTGTTTATACGTGACTATCTCAGTAAGATAAAAGCAAAAATGAAATTTAGTAATTGTGAAAGATTTTAGTTTATGGTGAGTGCCGTAGAAATACAATAATAGCATTTGCTCGCTCGCTCGAGCTCGCTCAGCGGTACACACCCAACGAGCTTGGTGAGTACGCGGCTTAACGCAGCTAGACTACTTTCTATGGGGTACATTAAAAGATATGGTGTATTGTGAACCAACAACAACACCAGAGAATATGAAAGAACGAATTCGTGAAGCATGCAGTATGCTTGCTGCAAAAACAATTGAGAGTGCAGTTTCCTCATTGATTAACAGATTACATCATTGTATTAATGTGAATGGACACCATTTCGAACACCTACGTTAGTGAATGGAAGAAGTCTTACGGAAATCTTGGCTGGTATTGAATCTCCAACTGGATACTACGCACAGACCATTTTCAAGAATCAAAGTGAAATTATTCGATACTTATTAGGTTTACGGCTAATAAAGGTCTACGTGTATATTCAAAATTTAACGCTCTTCGATATTTTGGCATAAAAAAGATAGCATTCCATTTAAAAAAACGAAGTTGATCTTCAAATATCCGAAACACCTCCACTTACAAAAAAATATATGCATTACACAATTTACTCCTCCAAACCATGCAACTTTTCTATAAACAACGGTTTCATACAATGCATACTTTAGAAGTTATTCAGGGTGAACAAGTTGCGTGGACCACCCTGTATATGTCTACGGCAGTAATGGGCAACTCAGCGCCCGCCAAACTGACTGGCGGGCAATGGCGTGCGATTTTTGTAAAAGTTCTAGAATTAGTTCCAATTTTCACCACCAGGTGGCTACCGTAATTTTGGCAGTTTTAATTTTTCAAGTTTCCCGCGCTTTTTAAAAAATTTTGGGAATGTATTATTTTTCTATTGTTTATTGTTTTTTATTATTTTGTTGGTAAATTGAAATTAGGAATAGAAGTGGTGATAGTGCTGGAATTAATGAATAATGCATATGTATGATTTGACTGTTTTTTATTCAAAGATCGTAAAAAAATATACAATATACAATGGTATTTGTATAAATTTAATAACAATTGCCTTAAATACTACTTACATATAATACTACTTAATATGTTAAGGGAAAATATATTAATAATATATATATACAGGAACCGTTTTTGCGTGGCTAACACATGATCAGGTTGCTTCTATCTTTTTTGAATAAAAAGAAACATAAATGATTATTAATCTGTACGAGTGATACTCTTGTTTAGATTAAAATGTGCGGTAAGTGTCAAGAAATCCCAATACACAAATATATCGTGACGTTTCCTGCCTCGCATTGCCAGCACAGGAGCCCGCGGCTGCCCGCCACTTGCCCGTACGGGCAGCATACTCGAGCGGGCCCGGTTGCCCATCACTGATCTATGTTCTTTACCTTTAATTCATAGCACGGTCGTATACACAGATCCGGACTCCCGTGGTGGGAGTGATCCCTTAAAGAAACAAAGTGTACTTTCGAACTTTGCCACGAAACGAGAGCACTACAGTCTTTCTATCCAGTCATGGACCTAGGAATGGGACCTTGCGCTCCGTCTTCTAATTCTTATATCCATGGGTTCAGTCGCGGTCGTATAGATTCCCTGTGGCGCATCCGCCTATTCGTGCTTTTAAAACATGATGAGTGTATACGACCGTGCGCTGTGCATCAGCATGCGCTTATGTACGGACACATCGATTGCAGCGCTATATAGCTAGCGGAAGATTCATGAAACTTTCGGTCTTCATTAAGGGATTACCCCTACCACGGGAGTTTCCAGACCTCTGTATGCGGAGGTTACGGACCACGGTATGCATACCGTGGTTTATGGTGATAACAGAGAGGAAATAGAAGTGCTCACACCCGGGAATTCGTTGTCCCCGAGTATGTGTGCTGCACCAAGCGGCCAATTCTGGCATAATAGTAGGAATCTACGTGTTTGGTTCCACGCTAGCATATACAAGAATATATTTATTTCAACCACAGACGTGATATCAAAATAAATCTATCATCTTATGGGACTTGGTATCCCACGAATATTACACTAGTTCGAGCGCACCTCTAAGTAATAGTTTCCTTCCGACTTCAGGAACTGCGTTCGTCACCGTGATGACGCACAGCACACACCCGTGACTGCATATAGCGATACATACATACATACATTATTGCCCCGGTTTCGCTAGCAAGGAATGGTATACTGAAATGGTACGCGGCTTCTGACGCCTCCGAAATATGGGAGAGAAAATTACAATGCATGTTAGGTCTATTCTTATATCTCGTCTGTGGTTCAACGGTAGCACATATCAGAACCACAAATGTACCATATCAGTTAGAAGTGGTTTTACGTGATATAAGAAGTGTTTGCACGTTAAGGGGAAATTACATATAGAACGCCCAAAATAAGCTGATCTTTGTGAATTTATTACAAAAAAGCTATTAAATAAATCACTATAAAACTTTCAGTACTATATATTTATTGTTTAAAGTTATAAAAAATTGTTTTTTTTTTATTAAAAATGTCGGCTGTGGAAGTCGCTATTGAAGGAAGTTGCTGCAGTCTAGAGCCGGAGGTTTGGTGAGCATGATTTAAAAAAGTTTTTCTCAACCAATCCACCTGTTTCGGTGTATACAACTACATTATAACAAACTATAGTCGATGAATCTATATGTTTAATGAAAAGATTAATTTAAACAACTTTATTTGCATTAGTGTAGGGATTATGTTACATATTTTAAATTCCCCGTGTTGCCGGGAGAGTCACGGTTAATACATCAATTTGAAACTGGCTCGTAAAATATTTCTCTAATTGTCAAGACTCTGGAACCTTCCAGTATTTTCCAGAGCCGTGTGCAGCTCATACAAGCACACACACACACATTCACTCATCATGGAATTTTGTTCAGTTGTTTTAAATCAATATGTTTTAGAAATTTTATACACATAAGTGCGACAGAGATATATAGGGAGAAAGAGAATCTGTGTTTTGTTTTATTTTAGTATTCGAGAACTTACCTTTGACATGATAAAACATGATTACCTTTTCCCGTTGTACACTGAAGCTTTGACAAAAATTCTAACGTTTAGGTATTTTTAAAAATGCGAGGATTGTGTAATATAAAAGAAAAGGTATAATAATAGAAAGGTACAATAAACGTTTTTCGCTGCAATTCATCCGCAAATCTTGAAGGTGAAAGATTTGAAAAGTACTTTAAAATATTTATATGACGTAAGAAATGTCGAACAATACCGTAATTGACAGAATACTTGACGAGAGAAACGGTGGCATAAAATGTGCTCCAAAATCATTTGTACGTATATTTCAGGTTCAAATACTTTTTAAATATTCTTGAAATATGTATAAGTACATATTAATCATTGTCATATAGTTAGGAATTGAAAAAATATATAACTAATAAACAAAAAAAATGAGCTCGAGGAAGCCTCGAACCTATGTTCAAAAAGTTCGCAACGGTTACGAGTCCGATACTCTACTTCAGACATCGGTATTAACCAGAGACTCTATGTAACTATTATAACCACAATTTAAAAAGTGACAGTATAAGAGTTAATATCCTTGTGTGAATGATTTTGGTTAGGAATAACCAGTATAAATGATTAAAATTTTTGTTGATTACCAACAACCATTATCAATGACAGAAATTGTTTTTGGTTACCGATAACCATTATTGATGACAGAAATTTTTTTTTTGCTTACGCGGCAACCAATATCCATAAATAGAGTTTTATTTTGGTTACTTTTAACTATAAGCTCTTTTTTTTATGGGGGAAAACCTTGAAAAGGTGCACCGTCTCCGCTGGGGGCCGGAGACGTCCAATGCGCGGATTTCATCACGCTAAAAAACCCCCTAGTGACTCTCTTGGGCGTGAGGGCTGGTCGCGAGATCGTTCGACACACGCGGCGACCAGCCCCGCCCTTGCCCTCCCACTTGCCTTTGAGGGCGGGCTCTTCTCTGGGGGGAGGGGTGTATGCCGTCCCACCTCCTCCTACCTACAGCGTCGAGGGTTCACCTCTCGATGTTGTGTTCTCGTGGGCCGACCGCGAAAGGAGGTGGTACCCCAGTACCACTCCCTCGGCCCTGGTTGCCCCGCAGGCGGCGCGCAGGGTCATCGCAGTTGTGACCCTTTGAAATCGCCCCCCTCCCCGCGGAGCAACATTGCGGCCATAAGCTCAGCTTAATGCAGCAGAGCAGTTCCGCCTGCGGCACTCATCACACTCAAAACATAGTAGACAATATCTGCCATTTTACGCCCCTACAGCCCCGACCATGGCAATATAGTTAGAGTCCACTCTAACTCCGCTCCAATAAGCCCTTATCCGCATTACTGGGGGGCTCGGATTGGGTACGTCGGGGAAATAGGAAAATCTATAAATAGAGGCGCATCGCTCCGCTTCCGGACATATGCTTCTCAGTAGTCAGGAATCAGTACATTCTGCAGTTTCAACCTTGATACTACTGCGTCGTCAGTAGTCACATTCTGCAGTTTGGCAGTAGTCAGTCTTAGTTGTGACCTCGTTGAGTGAGCATGTAGGTGTGCGATATTGTGTGTGTTGCCGTGAGTAAGTTCTTTTGACAACAGTGAGACTACTCCAAGAAGAAGATCATCATCGATGTTCGATGGAAAGTGATAAAACGCACTGCCCTTTTTAATGAATCTGTGCCGGTGGCGTGGTGGATTGCGGTCGACCTACTAAGGGGAAAAGCTTCCATCTCCGGTGCTAAGAAGGACACTGACATTAATGCCACGAGGGAGAAACAATCTCTGATGCTGAGTGCCTCTGATATGACAGAGGCTAAAAAAGGTAAGGTCATGTCACGGGTACCGATTAGTACCCCGTCGACTAGCAACGGTAAGATACAACCAAAAACTTCTATCTCCCCAAAGAAATTTCTTTGACTGACCCCAAGATCTTCTTTTGATATGCTCATACTACGACTGTTGGCTTTCGCGATGCGCTCTAGGTCTCTCTTAAGGGCAACATTTTTAGCGTGACGACCAATATTAATACCCAATAAGTCCATAATTGTTAGTAAAGGTTCGCATCCTTCGTTAAACACGCATACCGAAACCCAGGCCGAAATTTCAAGAACGTTTCTTCCAGAAAACATGTGTTTCGGAGCGAGCTGCCATATACACTTACTGAATGCTTCGTTATTGTTCTGAGTATTTTTTTCTATACAACGTCTTAAAAGTTCTTTAGAAGTCAAGCTTTTGTATACTGGTTTTCGAATTTCTTGTACTTCTGGATCTAATAGAGGCTTGTGCGAGTATTTTTGTTTAGTCACTTTATGCTGTAAGTGAGGGTCAAATGACCGTGTTGGAAATATATATTTGTAGGATCTGCAAATTTTTGACTGAAACTTTAACAAAAAAATTGATTTTTTTTTTAAAATCCAATCATAAGAAAGTACTGGGGGTTGTTCTGCGTGGTTTCCCGCGAATGTTACCTGAAGATCTGGTGGTTGAAATTAGGGCTTAACCCAGTGTCATGTTCCCCTCTAGTGGGAAAAAACTCTAAACCCCTATATTGTTTATACAAAGTCATCTTTCAAAATGGCTCCACTCTTAACAGCATTAGAAAAAGTAGTTTCTTGTTCCAAACTAGAGTATATTGGGAGAAGTTTTTATCTTAGAAGCCTTATACCCAATGCTTTAGGTGCTAGGCATTTGGTCATTCCTCGAACAATTGTAACCACTCACCCAAATGTGTAAAATGCGCAGGATCACACATCACCAAGGAGTGTTCCAAAACTCCTGAAACCAAGCTGTTTGTGCAAACTGTAAAGGACCACACACAGCTAACTTTAGACAATGCCCTTCATTACTCCGGTATTTGGAAAAGAAATATGTTAACAAAAACTCAAATCTTAGCCCTGCGCACCAGATAGAAGGAAGAATTAGGTCACTCATACAAGCGCTCTTTATAGGGTGTGTCTTGGAACAGTGCTACTGTATGGAGTTCACATTTGGGGGAATGCCCCAAAACATGTTCTTAAAAAAGTCCACACAACTCAGAGCCGCATTCTGAAGATTGTTATTGGGAGATCCTTTCGTTTTTCTACATCTGAACTGCATGAAGAAACTCATGTTGAACTTATATCAAACTTTGCAAAAGGCATCATCAGTAACTACAGTGTTGAAACCCATTCTAACTCACTCATTAGGCTGACAGGGTTATACGATCTTCATAGAATTCCATACAGAGTTAAAATTCGCTTTCCATTATTTTACAACGCATGACCATATACATTTGACTCTGCACCTCCTGTTGCAGTTTTTGCTTGCAGTGCTTATGCTTGGGTTTTTTTTTTTAAATTGTTACCCCTTTTAATTTTCAATGTTCTTTATTACTGATTTTGCAGGTAACTCCATAACCATCATCAACTTTCCCTAGTAAGAGGACCCCGAGCTCTCAGGAACAGGACATACACTCAACGAACCACGAGAGGAAAAAAAAGGCTCCTGGACACGCTTCTTGACGCGCAGACAGATAACAATCGTAGTAAAGAGCTCTCACATTCTGTCTCGCCACGATAAACCGCTGCTCCAAGTTTGATTATGCACTCGTGTATTATTTAGTTAATAGTTTTTTTTTTATGAATACATGTTTTTGTTACATCGAAAACTATAACAATTTCTACACCTGCATTTTCCACCCAACTTCTCTCACACGGAAGTTTCAACGTTCCGTACCATCACATGACGTAGAATTTACGAATCTGAAACATCGTCAAGGATTTGCGGTACGGGACGTAGCAGAAAGAAACGTGGTATGTTGGATGGCATTTCGTATTTGACCAATTTATTATTCGGAATGCCGGACGCTGATGACGCACATTATTATATAAACAATATAAATGTATTATTGAATAATAGTTATCAGGTGAAACAATCATTGAAATCTCATGTTCAGATAATTTCCAGTGCTATTAATACTTTTAATACCTCGTTATACAGGGTGGTCTACGCAACTTGTTCACCCTGAATAACTTCCAAAGTATGCATTGTATGAACATTTTTTTTATAAAAAAATTGTATGATTTGTAGGGATACATTATGTAACGCATATATTTTTTTGTGAGTGGAGGTGTTTCGGAGATTTTAAGATCAACTTTGTTTTTTTGTAATGGAACGCTATATTTTAATGCCAGGATATCGAAGACCGTTCAATTTTCAGTAAAAAAGTACTGACCTTTATTCGCCGTAAATCTAATAATTAACGAAAAATTTCACTGTGTTTTTTGAAAATGGTCTGTGCGTAATATCAAGTTGGAAATTCAAGGAAATATATCATTAAATATCCGCACAGACATCTGGTACCAACATAATTGTTGCCCCGCACATTATGCACATGTAGCAAGGCAAGTGCTGGACAGACAATTCCCCAATCGATGGATCGGTCGTGGTGGAGAATTTCTGTGGCCACCACGTTCACGAGATCTAACTCCGCTAGACTACTTTCTATGGGGTATATTAAAAGATACGATGTATCCTGAACCAACAACAACACTAGAGAATATGAAAGCACGAATTCGTGTAGCATGCAGTATGCTTGATGCAGAAACAATTCAGAGTGCAGTTTCCTCGTTGATTAATAGATTACATCAGTGTATTAATATGAATGCGCACCATTTCGAACACCTACGTTAGCGAATGGAAGAAGTCTTACGGGAATCTTTGCTGGTATTGAATCTCCAACTTGATATTACGCACAGACTATTTTCAAGAAACAAAGTGAAATTATTCGTTAATTATTACGTTTACGGCTAATAAAGCTCAGCACTTTGTTACTCAAAATTTAAGGCTCTTTGATATTTTGGCATAAAAAATATAGCATCCCGTTTAAAAAAACGAAGTTGACATTCAAATATCCGAAACGCCTCGACTTACAAAAAAAATATATGTATTACATAATGTATCCCACCAAACCATATAACTTTTCTATAACAAATTTTTTCATACAATGCATATTTTAGAAGTTATTCAGGGTGAACAAGTTGCGTGAACCCCCCTGTATAATAGACTGCGCGGTCTGATGGCAGGGATGAAGTCGAGACTGAAGGACAGAAGTAGCGCTGGAGTAGATCCTCTCTTGTTTGCACATCGTAGAGAGAGGGGAGAAAGTGATTGGGGGGCAATGAGGGGAAGGATTCTGCACGCATGTAATGTCTCCATTACAGCTTCAGAATCTCCCACCAACAGCCCCATTAGAAAGAGCAGTAGTTGCTCCAGTTATTGCCTTCTCCCCCTTATTTCGACATCAGTCCTCCCATAAAACCGCGCAGTCTATTATAGGGGGAGTTCCCTTAACGCCGGATGACACCTAATACCGGACATTAGCTATATATGTGACAGTTGAAATGTTAGCAGCGACCAGTTATCCTGCGTAAGCGGTAGAGAGTATGGAAAAAACAACGATCAGGTTTCGACACATTCAGTCGCGTGTGCACAGCTAAGGAAATCAATTCATTTTTGACCGTTTGACGGGAATCCGGTGCATCGTATAAATTATAAAGTATTATATTTACCAATTTTCGTGGCCAAACGACATGTGAGTTGTGTTATTGTATCTTTTTGTAAGTACTTTTTTAATTACCTTTGTGTTTTGTGTACACAATGCACTGGTTTTTGCAAAAAAATTGTTGTTTAATGCGTTCACTGTCCCCTGGTTCCGGACAATAATGGTTTCCCCTATTGTCATACAGTAAAAATCTCATTCTTTTTCTCTTCATCTCCCCACGAATTATTGACTGAAGAGGAAAAAAATAGAAAAAGAATTAAAGAACGAAAGAAAAACTTAGGAAATAAGCTTAAGAAGAACAGATCACTGAAACCAAGAGAGACAAACCAGGAGACTCTCTGTGTAGTGTGTTCGGGAAGCAACAAAAATACTGGATTCAATGTTCAAACTGGTAAAAATGGGAACACAAGTCTTGTGTCGATATCCCCGAATGTTCGGATAGTTATATTTGCGATCACTGCATATTATATTGAAACTGCCCTGAGTTAAGTTAGTAAGTTTTACTGTGTCCAGTACTAGGGGCCACTTAATGATCTTTCAAAATCACATAGCAAAGTGTAACGTTCATTTAAGGTAACTATTATGCTTATATTGACTATTTTGATCCTTTGTTTGAAGTTCTAATTCTGTTAACTTATAAATAATGCAGAATAAAAAGATTGAAACATGTTTCTTATTTATTTATGAAAAACCTTAGGCGTCCGGCATTAGGGGAACTCCCTCTGTGTCTATGTTCAAGACACTCAAAAACATTCGCCAGTGCGTTAACACCGAGCATTCATTTGGTAATATTACACTTAATATATTTATCGTGGCAACACTACACTATACATACTTATACGTAAAACTGATTATGTAATATACAAATAATATTCTTTAATACACATAAGTAATTCTATTCTTAAAATTCATTGGTTTGATAATCATTATAGTCGTACCTGACCTTTCCCACGCGATACAACTTTACTGCTCCAGTTGTATCTAAATTTATGAAACGAGTTACGAGGCTTAACTAACATTTCCTACGGCTTCCTGATTTCGCATCAGGTTCATCCGCACGTTTCTCTTTTCCAAAAGTTTTCCAACCTAGTGGCTACCCGATTTCACATCGGGTTCGTCCACGAAACTTGAATCAGGTTCGTCCGCATCCTAACAGCTCTCTGATGTCTCATCAGGTTCGTCCGCACGTTTCATTTTTCCAAGAGTTTTCCAACCTAGTGGCTCCCCGATTTCGCATCGGGTTCGTCTACGAAACTTGACCTATCCTGTGGCTCCTCGATTTCGCATGAGGTTCGTCTGCATCCTAACCGCTCCCTGATTTCGCATTAGGTTCGTCTGTACAAATTTTCCACCTTCATGGCAGCTTCACTGCCACACGCTGAGTTCGTCTTCAGAATCTCATCCTAGTGACTCCCCGATTTCGCATCGGGTTCGTTCACGAGTTTCACCTTCCTGCAGTTCCCTGATTTCGCATCAGGTTCGTCCTCGCTTTCAACGATCCTAGTGGCGCTCTAGTGTGCACCTTATTAATAAACAGATAAACCATATTCCTTAGAAAACCTACACTTGTCGGCATCTCGCGCTGCTGGCGTCCCTAGCTCGTAACAACCCATTCAACTGCACGCGTATACAACAGACGATCAAATTTGATATTTTCGAAAACGGAACATCGTGTGAAAAAGTGTTATCCTACATTTTCCAGTTATTTTTTCTACAGAATCACATCCTTTCAGGTTGTACCATCATTATTTAGAAACCCCCTGTATAAGTAAATACATGCTTAATATTGTAACACATGAAAATTGTTTTTGACGAATGCTTTTAATTTATTTTCCAGGAGACAACAACTCGAACAGTCTGTATACTGTGAGTCCGAAACCCGGTGTAACGGTGTAGAAGATGACATGCAAGATGTTGGAGCGAACCCGGAAAAAATCAAAGTAAGGATTAATTTAATTGTGGATGTATAAAAATTGTGTCACGATCTTCATAGGGGGGATTCTACACCTCTGGATCGGTGGATATCTGTTAAAAAAAAGAACCGCAAAATTGACCTTGACCTTGACGATCAAGGTCAAATGTTTTTTTGTTATTGCATCGTATAATATTTTCACCCGTTCCATAACTTCATATTAACACATATTTTACTGTGCTTCAATATCCATTGTCTAATATTTATGAAAGACTATCCCTGTTTTCATAATGTTATATCAGCTTCATTCTATATGCGGACGGGAGTAATAAATATATTTTGCAAGGATCATCTAAATCTGCATACAGGGTGAGTCACCTAACGTTTGCACCTCAAATATCTTTGTATAGTTTTTTAGTTTTCATGTTATTTTTTTAGAGATCTCCCAGGTCACCTTCATTTTTTAAAATGGAACCACCCTTTTTTTTCGTGCCCTTGAATGACCTTGAATAATTATAGTCACTGAATTCCTAATGAAAGGGACTACCATTGTAGGTGTTTAAAAAAAGGGTGATTCCATTTTAAAAAATGAAGGTGAACTTGATATCTCTAAAAAAAATGACATAAAAACTAAAATTTTTTGGCACCGTGTGAGCCCCATTGAACCGTTCAACTTTGTCCTTAAGACATTTGACGTATTTTTAAAAACAACAAAGATATTTGTGGTGCAAATGTTAGGTGACTCACCCTGTATATAGTTGAATATTTCTTTCCAGTAATAGTACACGAGTAATTATAGTAACAAGAATATCATGTTCCAGAGCACTACCCAAGATTTATTTGAACTACTCGAAAGGGTGCAGAGTTCGCGTCTCGATGATCAACGATGTGTTCTTCCACCGTACTTCTCCCAGGTAAGGGCCACGTTCACATATCCCGAATCCATTTTTTATTGTGAAATCTGCAAGGGTGCGCAGACCCGGCCGAAACTTGACGACCTGAGCTTCGAGACGGCACAACAATATGTATCTGGGTAAAATCAGATGAAATCACGATACTTTCGGGTTCGCACAATCTCATCCTCTGGGATGCGTGATGAACCATAAATGAATCCATCACCATTGAATTTAGTCTCGGTTCAGCTGGGTGTGAATTTAAGATAGTCGAAAGACGAGTAGAATAGATCGCGTCCTTTGGTAACTAACGTTCTTGTGTTTTCCCCTGTACTTCGACCAGCCCCTACCCACCGGTCTAATCTGCCCATTACCCCTCACTCTTAGAAAGATGCAAGGAACGCGACGCTAAATGATGCTCCACCGAACTTCTCCGAAATTCCCTCTGAGAGGACGAATATCAGGTCTATCAGGGAACACTACCGCGTGCTGGGTTACTTAATGACACGCACCCCTCCCTAGGGTTGATACTCTCTCTCTCTCTCTCTCTCTCTCTCTCTCTCTCTCTCTCTCTCTCTCTCTCTCTCTCTCTCTCTCTCTCTTTCTCTGTCTCTGTCTCTCCGCCCAACGGCCGCACTTACGAGCGGTCGCAATATCTGCTCGGTAACGTGCGTGGCAATGCAATACCGCGGCTTATGCATGAACGATGCAAACGTTGACGGACGTACGTTGCAGCGTCTGCCAAGCGCTCCATGACCTGACTATACTACGTAATTCAGGGGGTCATGGTTTTAGCGGCACTTGCCCTTTCGGGCGCGGCCTGGTTTCAGCAGTGCCATGCTTTACTTCCGGTACGTCGTTCAGATGGATTGTCTTCCGGATACGATGGTCACATGGTTGTTTGGGCCGATATCTCGAGAAGCCGTAGCCGACAAGTCCGCCATTCTTCCGAGATTCGGTGTACCAGTATAATATTCCCTGTTGGATGGTATTACACCCGGGCCACACGGTACGTAGTTTAAGTAGGCGTGGATAGAGCTCCGTGAGGAGCTCCTCCCACGTATCCCACGCCCTTTCGGCCCTGGTGATCGATGCTGATGTCTGTTGCTTGTTCCCTTCCCTGGATGGTCTGTGAATACACTCAAATGACTCCCTTTCGTCTGGATTCGGCAGGTTCAGCAGCTCGATTTCGTCCTTGCTCGGGGACTGAGAGGGGGCCCTTTTGCTAGGGTGATTGGGCATCTAGCTCACCCGCTCCTCCATCCCCACTCACGGACTGTCTACGCGTCTGGAGTTCTGGGCAATCACATGCCCTCCTGACAAGACACTCTCAGTACGTATCCCACTTTTCTTATCCTTACGGATATGAGCGCCAAAGGTATCGGTACCGATCACCTGTGGAAATTACTAGCTCGCTAGCCTGTCCTCGTCCCGGGGCTCGGAGAACGATACGTGTCCTGTCAGGTCGTAGTCCGTTTCTTCGGAGGGTCATCTCTTCTCTTGTTCGTGCTGTCGTTCATCCCTTATCTGAAACAGAAGGTCTCTCTTTCGCATCCTGTCCAGAGTCGAGTCTCCGGGCAGGATCTCAGGCGGCACCACGTGTAGGCGAGAGGATGTGATTTTCGGAGCCTCCAGACATCTCCGACTGACTAAAACAGGCTTATGAATTGTCGGATCTATCTGGATATTCTTCCATCATCCCGAAATGGAAGAACCCCCTAGATCTGTCGCCCTTTCTCTGCTCTAACTGTACCCCAACAGTCTCTTAACACTTCGTGATCCTCATCCCACTTCCACCACTTCCCATCTACCTGAATCCTTCCATAGGCCACCCAAACCTTCCTCTTTTCATTCCTCTCTTCGTCCGCTATTCTTTTCAACGTCCATTGCATTTTCCTTCCCTTTCACGTGAAGTCATCTTCTATCCTCTCGTTTCTCCCTTTCAGCACCCTTTTCCTGCTCATCACCACCCTCTTCTGCTCCAGGTCTCTCAATCTGGCCACAATTGTCCCCCCTACATCACCTTCCCTTCCATCCACTCTCCTCACATCCTTCCTACCCTTCGCGTTCATCGCCCTTATCATTATTTTCCTCCTCTTCTCCTCTCTGTCCTTTCTCTCAATCCTCTCCTCTATCCTCTTCACCTTCTCGTCTACGCCGTCTGCCTCCACTATTTTTCCTTCTCTCTCTCAGCCCTCCACCTTTCCCTCCATCTGTTTGATCTTTCTCTCCCAATCTTACCATCTCTCTTCTTACTACTCCTAAATATCCAATCCTCTCCTCTTCCCTCCTTCATCTCCTCCTCCTTTGACCCCTACTCTTCCTCTTCCAAAAATCGTCTAAATACTTCATGCTTCCCACACTGCTACTTCTGTCTCTAAATAACCTTTCCACGTTTGTGGATGACCTTCTTTGCCTCTTCCGCCATTCTATATCTGTCATTTTCTTTTATCTCAGCTACTTGCTCCTTCTTACCGACCTTTCTACTTTACCTTCACTAGTTCCCTTCCTTACCGACCGTTCCTACCTTATCCACACTATTCCCCGTTCTTCCACTGGCGCCACTACCTTCTCTCACCTGTTCGCAACGGTTCCCACTTTTCTTTCTCTTTCC